GCGAGGGCGTGATATCCCATACTTATGTGTTGTACCGAGTGAATCGACTGAAGGGGAACTATGGACCCACTGTGATAGTGGGGAAAAAGAACGTTTAATTTAACTGTTTATCTGTGAATTATTACATTGGTGTAGTAGAAATTCTAGTCTGGCACCCATCCTCTATGGGAGGTTTCGTTTTGTATTATATTATCATTATTATAATTATTATTATTTACTTCATTTAGATTTTTTTAAATTTACCTTTTATTGGTTTCAGTGTTAGTTTTAGTCTTTATAATTATTATTGTATGGACGGGATAGAGAAAGAGAAAATACACACAACAAGTCACATTTTTTTCTTATCAGGATTATTAGGATTTTATTATTAATATACTGTTCTTATCATCATCTCTATTATTATTGTTATTTCTATTAAGTAACCAACAACAATCCAAAGCATCAGTAACCAATGCAAGCACTCCACCCTCACGTCTTATATGGTAACTCCTTAATCAAAGTCTTTTTATTTCATCAAAACGATATAAAAAAATTTGTAAGTTTTAAACACAAATTTTAAATCGTATAATCCAAGCATGGCAACTGCTCACACGACTTAAATTCAAGTTGATTTAAAAATTAAATTTTTTTCTTTTTGTTGTTTCACTTCCATATTCCTGCTCAGGATGAACAAGTGTTTTTGTGGTAATTTCCGCTGCGGCCTCACAACAAGAAGGTTCCTGGTCTTCCTGGTCTCATGACTGGGGCCTTTCTACATGATGAGGTAGACACCGTATAGTTTCTGGGGGGGGATATATTAAAAAAAGTTTAGAGAATAAAAAGAACATACACATGGTTAAAAATGTGGCTAACAATTGCTAACACAAGACTAGAAAAGCAAATTCAAATCATTTGTTCATTTCTGCATCACGAGCTTTAAAAGGCAGTTGAGCATTTGATCTCAAACAGAGAAGTCTCGCTGACAGCTGGCTCCTAGACCTCAGCTGAATTCCCATCATCCTTTTGGCGACAGAGCCCTTTAAATTTGAACCTGGAAGCCAAATGAGGAGAGCTGCATCAGTTAGGCAATATTAAACAATAGATATTTGATATATATTTGCATTATTTGTTTTGTTTTTTCATTTCAGTTTTTTTCACATTGTACCCACCTTTATTTTTGATATTTCAAAATGAACTGTATATTTCTTATTCTGGTCTCATGACACAGACCTACCCACATAACACTTTAAGACCGCAGTGCAGTAAACAATCAAACCAGATTTCCCTATTTATATATTTTTTATTACAATCCATTCATAGGATATCTATTATATAGAGTGCAGATATGAACGCACCTGAATATACAACCTGCAAAAGCAGCATTACTAGCATAATCAATAGACAAGCTTACTTCTTAATGACTTGCATCTGATCGATGGTATCAGGAAGCGGTTTTCCAAATGACTCCGGAAGGAAAAGGGAGACAAAGACACCGATGACTGACAGGAGACCCACAGTCAACCACGGCAGGAACTCGTAGAACACAGCTGCAGACAAAACCAGAGCCCATTATTCAGATTATTTCTCTGCTACAGACTTCTGTCATCACTGAGCTGCAGGTCAGTTTGTTAGATTTAGAGTTGAGAAGCTGAGCATTAAGGATGCTTTTGTCATTAAAGTGAACTAAAACTTCATCTCTACACAATGACACCTGTCTCATAAAAAAGGCATAAAGGTTCTGTGTATACTACAAAGTGCTCTATTGCAGAATAATTATCCTAGTATGATGTTTACACAAAAGTAGGGATGCTTTGAAAACATGTAAATGAAAAACAGACGGCTATTAAGATCATTAGAAGCCTACAGGGCACTGAATAGAGCACAAGGACATCGTAACAAAAACATATTGAAACAGAATTAGTTGTTCAATTTTCCATCTGCTGTTTTTTGATGCGCTGCACAACTTTCTCAATCATTTCTCACTCTTGCCTCAAAATGAAGTTTAGCGAAGTTTTTAAATTTACTTAATTTCAACATTTACTGTCTTGGATTATTTGATTAAAGATATTTTTTTCATCATAGCCCACTCCATAGCTTTATTCTTTTCTCAGACCCAAGACCAGTAGAAAGTGTTGGAGAGTAAGCTTAGGACATTTTTAATACGAGTATCGTCAGTTGTAACAGTTGTCCCAAATTTAACGTTTTTCTTCTTCTTCTTTTTTTCTTTTGTTGGGGGGAAAATGGGGTGATTGTGATGCCAAATATCTCACCCAGCTGCAATATGTATGGGGTGATAGAGGACCCCACTCTGGAGAATAACGCAGCAGACGACAACATCGTATTCCTGATGACTGTGGGAGACAGCTCTCCAGTGAGCAGGTGCAGGATTCTTTCAGAAGCCAGGACTCCAAATTTACCTATCAGCACCAGGGTGAGGGTGATGTTGTGATACTCTGAAGGGAGGAGAAGGACTTTAAGCTTATGAGGAGTGAAACAAGTTATTTTTAAACATTTGGTGAGCAGGTTTACCTTCCCTCAAATAATCTTGTTTTGTCTATAAATCTCATTTAGGGCAGCACCTCTAACATAGTGGCTGTGTGTGTGAGGCCTTGTTGAAAAGGCTTATTGTGTTGATATTTTTCAACACAATGACAGTTATATTCACAAAGAGAGCAAGAAAAGGACAGTGGTCTCACTTACTGTGCAAAGTGATCTGGATGAGGAAGAGTGCCAGCGCCAACAGCAGGGAGAAGACAATAAAGGACACGCGGCGAGGAAAATATTTTGCGCTAAACCAGCTGACCAAGTGCGGGATATCCATTAGTGACAGCAAGGCGTAGTTCAGAAAGGGGTTGCCATGAAGAGTAGTCATATTGAATGATAATCCAAAGTAGCTCACATTCAAAGAAAACCTGCAAACAACAAGAGAACAAAAACTAAATAAATAAAATGAATCCTGTTAGGATCGCTCAGTCAATTACATCAATAAGCAGTTGTAAAACATGTCAGAGTCACTGATGCCCAAAACCAGCATTCTGAGTTTTCTTTATATTTCTATTCTCTAGTTTTAGTTTCACGTGTACTTCTGTGTGTGGTTTTAGTCTGGTTTATATTCAGTTCGTTGAGTTCATAGATTCATGGGGAAGGCACTCACCAGAGAAACCACACTACGAGTGTGATACTTCGAGTGGTTGTGTTCCTCAGCAGACCCAGGTAACCAGAAACCCTAGGTTGCTGAGGTTGCTGAAGTTGTTCAGGTTGCTGAGGTTGTTCAGGTTGCTGAGGTTGTTCAGGTTGTGCTGGTTGTTCAGGTTGCTGAGGTTGTTCAGGCTGTTGAGGTTGTTTGGGTTGCTGCGACTGTTCAGACTGTTGAGACTGATCAATGTGCCACATAGAAAATTCATTACATTAGCCAATGTAGTTTAGTGTGGTACACGTTGGACAAGGATAAGGTCAGAGGCTCTTACTTTTGCTGAGCGAAAGAGGTCAGATGGAAATTCCACTCCGTTCTCCAGAGCAGCAAACCTTAGCAGGAGTTCTGCTTCTTTAAAACGGCCTTTGGACACTAGCCAGCGAGAAGATTCTGGAACCAGCCTGGTGGACAGACAGACACAAATGTGTAGTTCATTAGTCAAGTCAGCACAGGTGGAAACTGAAGAAAAATACAAGAGCCTCCTGCTCCATCTATCTGTGTTTGAGAGAGTATTATTTATTCATCAAGCAGATGCTGGAAAAGTTAGAAATTATCTGGATGCGATGAGTTAGAAATTATCTGGATGCCACGAACGTCTTCTTTTGGCTGTCCCTGTACGGGTGGCCACAGTGGATCATCTGAGCGCCATAATGATAACTGTAAAAATCTGTGAAAAATGTACTTTGCCAGAAGCCAAAGATTTTTTATTTAACACTTTATGCTTGACTGTGACTGAATGAATGAGATTGCAGATACAACCTTGGAACTTTGATCATCAAATCAAAACAGATTTAAACAGAAATGAGCCTTTAACAACGTTCAGTTGGGAGGAGATCTATGGGGAGAACGGGAACTGGAATAAAAAATTATAAATCCCTTTCTTTTGTCTCAAGATCCCCCAAATGGAAGGAAAAGGGCATCTGAGGAAGTGGAACAAAGTGATGGATGGATGGATGGATGGAAGACTGGATGGATGGATGGATGGAGGCGCACATTTAGTTTACATTAGCTTAACACATTCCACAGTTCAACAAATTCCTCAACAACCTTTTATATACTGAACAAAAAAAATCTGCTGAAAAAATCAGCAAATACTCAAGAAACAAAAATCCTAGTAGTGTACTGAGGTCAATTTACCACCAAAGGGGGAAACAGGCCAGACCAGGCAAAGCCATTAACACTGATAGATATCTCCAGTTCCTGACTATGTAGGCAGTGCCAGGGAATGCCACCATACCAGCTGAATAGAAAAAGCTCAAAGCAAGGCTGCTGAAGAGAACTCTTGGAACATCAACTAGGAGCTCAGAACCTGTGACGAAAAGGCAAAGTTTAAAGGAAATCAGGAAGTTGTACTTAATGTTATATTACAACTAATGTCCAATAAAATATTTTGTTTTCTGTTATCTGTTTACTGCACATGTGTAAATCAGAAAAGTCAGTCAAAGGTTGTGACTAGTTGACAATACAAGACAAGTGGTTTCCTTTTTGTTTCATTTTAGGTGTTGGCCGAAGGCTTATTACATTAAAAACAGCAGCAGTTGAGCAGACTATCCTAGAAATAAAGAAACACACTTACCAAGTACAAGAAGAACTATGCAAATGCTGACCTGACCCATGCCCACCATGAAGAAAAGCACATTGAAGACGGCCCAGGACTGAGCAAAACTCAAAGCGATGTTGAAGACACTTAGTATGAAAATGGAACTGAACAGAACAGGTTTCCTGCCAAACCTACAGTAAAAATACAGCAAGACAGCAATCAGCCACAACATGGGCACATACAGTTTTCTATTTAGATGTTAATGCTTAAAAAATAGGCCCATTAGCCTCAACAGCCTCAAAATAGGCCCATTAGCCTCAACAGGGCTTTAGCAGCTAGCATGACAGCTACCCTGAGGTACCCCTGAGCAAGGTACTGTCCCTACACACTGCTCCCCGGGCGCCTGCTTAGTGGCTGCCCACTGCTTCACTGAGTGAATGGGTCAAATGCAGAGAAAA